AGAGAATGGAATTTGTAGTTAGACCTGAGTTAGGCACTTTATTTTTTAAAAGAAGCATAATCCTAGGAGGTAGAAATGAAAGACACAACCTTCAGCTCTAGTCAGTCGTTAGCATAGGGCTTGATTGGAGCACCACCATTTTGGAAAGTACTTTCAAATAATAAAAATTATTAAAGTTTGGTGAAGAAAATCAGTAGCTCTTTGACAAAAGAAAAGAAATCTTTTGGTAGAACTGAAGTTTTAAAGTAAAGCTGGGTAGGGGATTTGGCACCTAAATGTCTTTGGGTGTAAAAATGTGTGGGGGTGTTGTCTGACCTCCTCTAACTTCAAAAGGGGGAAGGAGAATCAAGATCAACAGCCCAAAGCTGATTCCCATGAGGCAGAGGTCAGACATGCCTCCTCTCTCCACCATCTTTACCAATTCTGATACCACACCTTCCTCCTACAGCACTCTACTTCTCTGCTGGGTTTGATAATTCCTTGCAATGGCCACACACAACTCACAGACCATACTCACAGTTACGGGATTTATTAGGGAAGTAACAGGTTACAGTTCAGGTTCAGGAATGCTCAGGATACAGTTCTTACATCAGGACAGCCTCTTTTCAACTGTGCTGCAGGCAGGTCTCTCTCTGTCCCTCAGCCCCTCGGCCTGGCCTCTGCCCTGCTCAGGCAAATATTAAAAAGCTCTTTTAGCTCTGCCACTAAGTGCACTGAGACATCCTACTCCACCAGTAAGCCTCTGCCCGAAGGTGCTCAGCTCTCACTCCATGTGCCTAGAAGCCCACAGTGCCATCTCCTGCTGGTCTCCTGGTTCTGCTACCTCTCACCATCTCCAGTGTTACAGCTCTCCCTCTCTGTCCTGATTCTGCTGCCTCTGCTACCTCTCTCTGTCTTCTGTGTTACAGCTCCTCTCTCCCTCTCTCTGTGTCTCCCTATTGGGAAGGCAAAACTGACAGTCCCTTCATTAGGGTTCCATACACCTTAATTGCATGGTCCCACCCCCACAAGGGTGCCATGCACTTCATTTGCATTATTAGCAAGCTGTCCAATCCCCTTGGTGGGCCACAAGCACCTTATTTGCATAGTCCCATCCAGTCATTTGGTGGGAGTTACAAAACTGTGGCAAGAAAGGCCATACAAAAGCAGTCCATTGCACCACAATGGGACGAAGAAGTAAGTTTGGCTTTTTGTATCTGATTCATGAAAATAGCAATTAAAGTACCTTTTGTCTTTACAGCCAGGCCATACTTTAAAACAAAACAAAACAAAAAAACCGTTGTTGTCCTAACTCATAGTGACCCTATAGGACAGAGTAGAACTGCCCCATAGAGTTTTCAAGGCTGTAATCTTTATGGAAGCAGACTGCCACATTTTTCCCTCAGAGCGGCTGGTGGGTTCAAACAGCCAACCTTTCGGTTAGCATCCTAGCGCTTAACCACTGTGACACAAGGGCTTCTTTAAACAAAACAAAACAAACAAACAAAAAACCCATTGCCGTTGAATTGATTCTGACTCATAGTGACCGTATAGGACAGAGTAGAACTGCACCCACAGGGTTTCTACCAAGCAGCTGGTGGATTCGAACTGTCAGCCTTTTGGTTAGCAGCCAAGCTCTTAACCACTGTGGCACCAGGGCTCCCTAAGCCATACTTAAACATACGTAAATGAATTGGGAGAAGTACGGCTAGAATGCTCCTTAGAAGTGAAGATGGCAAGACTTCGTCTCACGTACTTTGGACATTTCCCTCAAATTCTGTTATCAGGAGGGACCAGTCCCTGGAGAAGGACATCGTGCTTGGTAAAGTAAAGGGTCAGTAAAAGAGAGGAAGACCCTGAGATGGATTGACACAGTGGCTGCAACAATGGGCTCAAACATAGCAACCGTTGTTGAGGATGGAGAAGGACTGGGCAGTGTTTTGTTCTGTTGTACATAGGGTTGCTATGAGTCAGAACCAACTCCATAGCACCTAACAACTTGTAACACAAAGGTCCCTAAGTGGCTCAAATGGTTTGCGCTAGACTGCTAACCAAAAAGTTGGCAGTTTGAACCCATCCAGCTGTACTAGGGAAGAAAAGCCCTGGCAAACTGCTTCTTTGTTAAGATTGTTGTTAACAGAGAGTCCTGGATGGAGCAGGAGAAAGGTGGGGTGCAGAACTCAAATTCTAGTAAGACCAGACTTAATGGTCTGACTGAGACTGGAGGAACCCCGGAAAGCATGGCCCCTGGATTATCAGCACAGAACTAAAACAATTTCCGAGGCCAACTCTTGAGACAGGGATTGGACTGGACTGTGGGACATAAAGTGATACTCATGAGGAGTGTGCCTCTTAGCTCAAGTAGATACAAGAGACCAAAGGGGCAGCTTCTATCCAGAGGTGAGACTGGAAGGTAGAGAGGATTAGGAGCTCATTGAATGGACATGGGGAACCAGGGGTGAAAAGGAGGAGTGTGCTGTCACAGTATGGGGAGAGCAATTAGAGTCACCTAACAATGTATGTATAAATTTTTGTATGGGAAAAAATTTAAAAAATGTTAATTTTAAAAAAAAGATTGTTGTTAAAGGTCATGGAAGCTCCATGGACAAATCCAAACTCCCTTAGGAACTGAATTGCTGGGCTGAGGGCTGTGGGGACCATGGTTTCAGGGAACATCTAGCTCAATTGGCATAACATAGTTTATAAAGAAAGTGTTCTACATGCTACTTTGGTGAGTAGCATCTGGAGTCTTAAAAGCCTGTGAGGGGCCATCTAAGATACTCCACTGGTCTCACCCCTTCAGGAGCAAGGGAAAATGAAGAAAACTAAAGACACAAGGGAAAGATTAGTCCAAAGGACTAATAGACCACAACTGCTATGGCCTCCACCAGACTGAGTCCAGTACAACTAGATGCCGCCAGGCTACCACCACTGACTGTTCTGACAGGGATCACAATAGAGGGTCCTGGACAAAGCTGGAGAAGAACATAGAACAAAATTATAACTCGAAAAAAAAGACCAGACTTACTGGCCTGACAGAGAGTGGAGAAACCCTGAGAGTGTGGCCCCCAGACACCCTTTTAGCCCAGTAATGGGAGTCACTCTGGAGGTTCACCTTTTAGCCAAAGATTACACAGACCCATAGGACAAAACGAGACTAAAGGGGCCAGCCCAGGGGCAATGACTAGAAGGCACGAGGGGACAGGAAAGCTGGTAATAGGGAACCCAAGGTTGAGAAGGGAGAGTACTGACATGTCATGGGGTTGTTATCCAACGCCATAAAACAATATATGTATTAACTGTTTAATGAGAAGCTAGTTCTGTAAACCGTCATCTAAAGTTCAATTTAAAAAAAAGATTGTTGTTATTACTTTCCAGTTGATTCTGACTTAGGGCCACCTACTGCCAAGAAAACCCTGTGAAGGGGTTCTACTCTGTAACACGTGGGGTCTCCATGAGTTGGAATAAACTCGTGGACAACTAACAACAACTCTTAACACAATGATATGGTGCAAAAGTTAAGAACCCTTGAGCCACAGATAGATTTACGTGAAGCTAATAATGTTTAAAAGAGCCCTAGTGGCACAATAGTTAAGCGCTGCGTTGCTAACTGAAAGGTTGGCGGTTTGAACCCACCAGCTGCTCAGCAGGAGTAAGATGTGGCAGTCTGCTTCCATAAAGATTACAGCCTTGAAAACCCTATGGGGCAGTTCTACTGTCCTATAGATTCGCTATGAGTCTGAATTGACTTGAGGGCAGTGGGTAACAAAGTTTAAGCTTCCGAGTCCCTCACTTTTACAAACATGTGCTTCCAAGACTTCTCCTAAATTTGCCATTTTATATTACTTAAAATTCCAACATTTGTATACGTTTTATGCCCCGTAACACAAAAACTGCAGCATTTAGCTCGGTACTGAGCACATATTCGATTTTCAATAATTAATTTTTCATTGATAGGTTCTGGGAAATTTAAATGATCCTCGAGTGTATCACGCAATCCCTGCAGACACTGCTTGACCTCCTCCACTCCTTAAGAGGAATGGGGCTTTAGAAGTTGGGACAGGCAAGGAAGCTCTGACTCTACAGAAGCTTGGACGGTTTTTGTGGAAGGAGACAAGTTCAGACTAAGGCGAGGGCAAGAACCAAACCGTAGGGGTGGAAAGTGAGAAATAGGTTTAGGAATAACGGGAATAAGTCTCCAATGGGACTGCTCTTTTGGCTTCTTAGATGCATATATCTGCCTTATCTACTTTATGGATATTAATTAGCTCCAGACCCCATGAGAAAAATGTCGCTGGTCTATCTTTTGTGCTTGACATTGTAATGCCTTTAGCGGTTTCTCTCAAATTCTGAGCCACCAATGATATGGGTAAGGGAGCAAAAGAGGCAAAGAGGCAGTTTTCTGATCATTACAGGGGATGATTTTCTATATAAAATTCTCTTGCAAAATGACGAGCCCAATCACCCTTAAACTGTATTCTACCTAGAGCCAAAAAGATGACCTAGACAGAAGCCCGAACGCGTGGCGATGGGCGTGTCTGGGGCGAACGCCAGCAGCGGCGCGAGGATTAGAGAGCGATGCGACACCGGCGAAAGGGCGGGAGGACCTTAGCGGAGCGAGGCCGGCGCGGACGGTAGGGGGCGGGGTTCCGGAGGCGGCCACGCGGGGCAAGGCCTAGGTTGTCTGCCTCTCTTCGGCAGCAGAGGAGGAGGGAGGAGCCTCAGGCACCCTAGGCTTGGTGCTCCGCAGCCTCGCGGCCACCAGGGGCTTCCACCATAGACCCCTTTGTGTGCCTGCCCCCGCCCCGGAGGCGCCCCAGCCAGCGGCGCTGAGTACCCTCATTGGCTCAGCCGACGGCTTCACTGATTGGTTCTCGAGTCGTCCGGCTAAAGTTCGCTTCTCCTCGCTGTTATTGGTCGCCTGAGTTGCCTCTCAGGCCGACACGCGATGTGATTGCCTGGCAGCTCGGAGTCCCTGGAAGCAGTTCCGGGAAACCCCGCGTGCTGCCGGGATCGCGTCTCTGTCCATGAGTGGGGGAGGGGGTGGCGCGCGCGCCATTTCTAGTCGTTTTCAAAGCGCCTCGCGCTGATTCTCACGGGCCCGGCCGCCGGCCCCTGCTCTGCCCTGGTGAGTCTCGCGCCGGCCCGTGGGGGGAGGGGCCGGGAGCCCCGATCCGACCCGACATGGCCTGCCGGGACTCGGCGCCATGTCCCCTATTTCGTTTTCGCTCCGAGGCCCTGGGGTGGGGGTGGGGATGGGCTGGGGGCGGCTTCGGCCTCGTCCGGGAGAGCTGCTGTGGGCCTAGCCCTTCTGAGGCTCCTCCTTGACTTCGCTCATCCTCCTCCAACCACCGTCCCACGGTGCGGCCTGCCGGGCGCAGTCTGTACGTCCTGTCGAGTCGGCCGCGCTTTTCCCGCCTCCGTCCGCCGCTCCATGCGGCCGAGTCCCGCGAAGGGCCTGAGGCGTCCGCGGCTACATCGCCTTTCCCGGCCGGAGCCACTTTGCTCCGGTCTTAGCCGGCCTAGCCGCGAGTGGGCTGTGTTGTTGATATTTGGGACAGGCTTGAGGGGGTGGGGTGGGCAGCGGGCGGGATGCAAATCCCGGGGTTACCTGAGCCAGGAGAAAACTTGTGTGAGCAGAAGCTGAAAGGCCGGTTTGTGTGGGAAGCGTCTCCCCTCCCCCATCCTGCATGCTGTGAACCGAGATTTGAAGGAAAAAATGACTACTAGAGGCCATAAAACTTAGGCTACAGGCGGCGCCTAAGATATGTAATTCTAAGAATGTCATAGGCGCACTAAATTGGAAAGGCGATTCTTTTTCTTATACGGTAGTAACCGTGTTGCCAAAACTTAAAAATTGAAGCCAAGCGGTTCTTGAAAGGTTCAGTCCTCTCATACTACCTGTTTGAGACTTCTCCTATTCTCAAGAGGCTGAATTTATGTTCTCATGAGTCAGACAAGCGCTTGATACTCCTAAGCCGTGAGATAACCGTTAGTTTCCATTTATTTCGCTAGTTCTTTTAAAGCTCGTCTCTTAATATGAAGAATTTGCACAGAGATGTTCAGAAAAAGTCAGAGAGGGTTTAGTGCTGAATTTCCAAATCTCCCAGCAGCCCTTTTAAATCTTATTTTAATTTCTACTTTTTGCAACAATATTTAGATCCAGTGACTCCAGTCAAATTAGTGTATTTGCTGCATCCAGAAATATGGTTTGGCTGTGTGGCATTATGTTGAATTGACACAAGAGTTTTAAATGGTCTCATACAATATAAAAGTCTTTTTTAAGTGAGCACTTCGTATTTGGCTTGAAGAGAGGTTTTTCCTTGATCTGAAAGGTTTAATTTTCTGGAATCTAATTATAGTATTTTTTGTTAAAGTTTACAAAAACTTTTTGAAAATTATTTCAACCAGTTTCAGTATCAACTTGTAGAGCCTTTGCAATTAAATAGTCATAAATATTTCTGTCTTGTGCTTAATACACAATATGTCTTTTTTGCTTTACACATACTTTTAAAACAATACAACCTTAACAGATGTTCCCTGAATTTTTTTCTGTTAATAGTATTAATAGTATTCCAAGGTGCAGTGCTATAAGATCTTGTGATACTGAGAACTTTTGAGTTCTGATGATCTTACGGTTGTATTTGGGAGTGGGGGAGCATGGGAAGACAACTATATTTTCACAAAGATTTTGGACTTCAGGATGCATCTTTGTATTAATTAGTAAACGTATTCATCTTACATGATAAGTAGTAAGCAGTTTCTTGATAAAAAGTGTGCAATTTTGAATGTTTTCGTTTTTACTAGTTCATCAAAATTTGAGGCTTGTCTTGAGGAACAATTTGTCCATTCAGAGTTTAACCACAAAGTCTGTGTCTGTATAGACATTAGAGGGCTAACAAATCTTATGTTTTGTAATCGTAAGAAGTCATGATATTGTTTATCTCATTTTTAGAGTAACTTTTTCTGCGTTTTCCTTTCTTCTTCCTCTTTATTACCTCCTTTACTCTTGGTCTTTCTCTTTCAATAACTTCAACTAAATACCAGTGGACATTGAAATGGATAGAAGTTGTTTTAAGTCAGAAAAACTGCACTGGTGCGTTTGCACAGTGTTTGCTATTTTGATAAGCAGTCTGGAAGTGTGGTTATCTTATGTGTTTTAGTGCTGCGTATTTCTTTATAGCTGACTAGCTATCTTGAGTTTCATCAAGGAAAGTAGGTTTTTTCCTGAGATCCACTTTCATGTTCATTTTGTGTTGCAGTGTCTTTATTCTGCTGCCTGATGTCTTCATTAAATTATAATTTCATCACAGACAAATGCCCTTTAACTTTAATTCTCTGTCTTCTGAGGCAGTGTAGAGACTGCCCTTGTACCGTTTTATTATTTTCTCTCTCTCTTCAGGAAGTTCGTTTTAGCATTACTTTAATGGCTGAACATACAACATTTTTGGTAGGGTTAACCCGAGAAATATGATCTAAGTTTATCCTAATTAGGTAATGTTTGTTGAAACTGTTTGAAAGAAGTTAGCCCTCCATTCTTCAAAATACTTTGCAGCTTTATTTTACTGAAATGAAAAATTCAACATGTACTTTTTTTTTTTTTTAAAGAAGTAACATCAACTATAGCTCACTTTTTATTTTCTGTGGACTTAAAACAATTGTTTAGCTTTTAATCTTGGTCATTTTTTCTTTTAAATCTGTGAATGGGAATAGCAAATTAATTTTAGAACAAAAATTAACAAGTTGTGTTATGTTTTAAGTGAGGTGGAGAAAACCCAAACCACCACCATATTGAACTAGAGACAACAGGGCATTTATTGGATTTGAAGCAGAGCTAGGAAAATTTGAAATCCTTAAACCTTGATTAAGTGGTCTGTGGGTGTTCATTTTGTTTGTAAACCAAACTTTTTAAAACTGTTTTAAGAATTGAGAGCTTGAGGGACTTTTAGGATTTTGTGGTGACTTGTTGATATGCTCACCAGGACACACAGCTGCTTTTGTTAATCAGCGATCCTATGATCAATAATAATCATCAATAAATTCAAGCCTTTATTTAACCAAGTGTACATGAAGTTTCTTAAAGATAAAATGCTTCCATGTACATTTTCTATGGTTTCACAGGATTATTATTGCAAATTTAGGTTAGCTACATCACAAAAGGCATAAAGTATTATTTGATAGAGGTTATTAGCAGCATGTATACAAATTAGTTTAGATAAATCATGCATTGTCCTACAAACTAGTTATTTCTGGCTTAATGTAATATAGCTCCTGAATTTTTTCCAGCAGCATAATAAAATGGCTAATCAGGTGAATGGTAATGCGGTACAGTTAAAAGAAGAGGAAGAACCAATGGATACTTCCAGTGTAACTCACACAGAACACTACAAGACACTGATAGAGGCAGGCCTCCCACAGAAGGTGGCAGAAAGACTTGATGAAATATTTCAGACAGGTATAATATGCATTTCTTGTTTCTGACTGGTTATGAAAGTGAGGGCAAACCACTTTGAATTTTATAGATTTTTAAGGTTAAATAATACTTATTGTTTCTGATATGTAGAGCTGAATGTTTGTTACTTTCCCTTCATTGAGGGCATACTGGGTTTGACTTTGATATTCTTATTTCATTATTTTGAAGACTCCTTAGTGTTGAATATACAGTCTTAGTTGTTTTCAGAATAGTACATCAATTTGTCTTAGATTTATCACCAATTAAAATGTATGTCTCAGCATACCAAATTTTGCATTTTTTCTTAATCTAAATCAGTCATCATTTTGCTTTTGCGTTTCTACTTTTAGCTTCTCAAAGTGATTGTTAAATCAGCTTGGGCCTGATTAGGTGGCATAATAAGAGGAATAGTTAGATGTATTGCCTGTAATGATAATAAATGTCAGACTCCTTAAGAGTTTGTGACCTGTCTAGTTTCTAATAGACAGTGATCCACATCTCTCAGTAATTGGAAGTGTTTGTTGTGTAACAGCTGCCTTTTTTTTTTAAATTCAAAAGTCCCATGGTTAAGTGCTTAAGCAAATTTGAACATCTTAATATGGTTGGTTGTTAAGTGGTTTGCAGTTTTAAAGAGGGAGAGAAATATTTACCCTTAGGGAGTGTTGTTCATAAATAAATGTGTCCTCCCCTTTTGGGGCCATAGATGGAAACTTTTCTTCCTCTGTGTTTGGTGTGCTTATCCAGATTCTGGGAGAGAGAATCGAATTGTCTCACATATGTGTCTTAAGTACAGTAGTAACAAAATACTAGTTTTTTTGGTCCTTAATTTTTTTTTTTTTTTTATTAAATCTGAGAAGCCTAGGATAATTTTAGACACTAAAATGACTTCTAAAAATAATTCCTGGGTGATGGTCCGATTTGAAAATCAGTCCTCAGGAACTTCGCTCTGACATTCTGCCATTGAGAATTGGCAGTGATCTGTTTAGAGATGCTCTCTTGTAGAGTGTTTTGTTATTGATAAGAGGCTGATGGTTTGGGTGTAGGTGTGGATTGGCAGTGGATTGATGGGTGTCCTGAGTTGTGGCTTTGGGGGGTGGTATGGAATATTCAAGTAAGGAAACTCCAATTATTTAGGCATGCTCATTTTGAGCTCTTAAATCACGGCAACATTTTTCTTATTATATAAGTAACTTTGCAAGTGGCATTATGTTTATTTAAAATTTATTTACTGTATGGAATAAAGTTTTTTTTTTTTGCTTTATCAAAACGGAGTCACTTGATGTTCATATGGATTTGGGGGATTGAATATGCCAACTATTTCCATTTTACATCAGATCAATTCTGAAATATATTCTTGTTTCTATATGTACATATCTATAGCTATAACACAAACTTAGACTGTTAAGAAATTATGTTTTAAACTTTAGAAGTTCTGTGTGCAGTTAAATATACTACATATATAGAATGCAGTGCATATATTTTCTATATAGTTTACTTGTAAGTCTTTAGTCAAGTCCTTAATGCCTTTTGGAAGAGATTGCCATTTTGACAGTCAGTGTTGTGAATGCCACAGCATCATTTAATCTTAGCTTGTCACCTCAGAAGAACAAAGAATGTTTTAAAGTATAACTTTCAGAATTGATTAATCAAGCTGCACTTGGATTTGAAGAAGAGTTTAAATTTTTGCCTTTCCGCATTCTGACTGCAGCAAAGTAGATGCTCAGATAAATACAATTCAGTTTATGTTTGGTGCTAAGAGGGAAAGCCTTTGACACTTAACTGGAGAGTGGAAAGAATTGTTTAGTAAAAGTGCTTGTTCCCCCACCTCTGTCTTGTTAGTTACACTTGAAATGAAGTTAGCAACAACTGGAGCAGACCATAATTTGAAGGTAGATCCTTGGGAAATACAGTATATTCTTACTACTCTAACATAAACCAGAATATAGTATATTAATGCTCAGTCTGTAGTACAATGTGTACTTAAAATTTAACTTCCAAGACTTACAACTTTTGGGGAGTGGGAAATGGGTTTAGGATTTTTATTTTTCTGTGGGATATGGGAATTGAAATTCTTGTTTATAGGTGTTGACATTTTGTCTTTTATTTTCATATTTGTACTCAGTCTTTCTACATAATACTGGTATAGCTGCGTTTATGCATATAGTTAAGTAAAAGTGTAATTTGTTATAGTATTGAATATAATAATTCTTGATTAAACATCGATAGGACAGTGTAGATTACCCCTTTTGTTGCAATAATGTTACTACTTTTCAATTTAATTTTTAGGATTGGTAGCTTATGTCGATCTTGATGAAAGAGCAATTGATGCTCTCAGGGAATTTAATGAAGAAGGAGCTCTGTCTGTACTACAGCAGTTCAAGGAGAGTGACTTATCCCATGTTCAGGTAAGGTCATTACTCAGAAATGTCTGAAAAATTAATGATCTGAAATTGTTTTGCTGTTACTTTTTTTCCTGTGAAGAAGTGATTTTTTTGTTTGTTTGCTTGTTTTTCACTGCCTCTGCTTCTTAAAAAAAAAAATGAGTTAAAAATACGCTACTAGCAAAGGTTGCAGAAGCACATGCATAAAGTAAAAGTCTCACCCCCCTCTTTGTGTAGTAACTTACTTTAAAAACTTAAAATGATTATTATTATTAGTTTTTTACATGTTAAACTTGCTCAGAGCCTTAACATTTTTTAGTTGTTTACCTGATCCTGTTTTATCTTGGAGGGAAATAATGTAGGTAGGAGGAATAGCTTGGGACTATCTGGCAAAGATAGCCTAGATCCAGTTAAATATCAACAAATGGAAGACTGTTTTCCCAGCATAGAAGGTAAGTTCCCTGAGGCCTTGACTGTCTTTTACTACTGTCTGCTCCAGTCTCTGGCATATAGCAATTATTTCGTTGAATGAATGGATGAGTAAATATTTTGTTAAAATTTTTTCCTCTGGGATTTAAGTTTAATTGTGTATTTGACTCTTCCAAGATTCCTGGTGACTCTTTTTTGAATTACTTGCCTGTTCTAGAACAAAAGTGCATTTTTATGTGGAGTTATGAAGACCTACAGGCAACGGGAGAAACAGGGGAGCAAGGTGCAAGAGTCCACAAAGGGCCCTGATGAAGCAAAGATCAAGGTAAAACTTGAGTTGGATAGTTTTAATGAAATTAAATTTAATGATTAGATAGAATGCTTCTTTTTAAATTTTTTTAGAGTTTTTACAGCTTTGAGGGTTTTTTTCTTGCTGTTTGTTTTTTAACCAGTATTCAAAAAATTAAATAACTTGGGGGAAATATCTTCTAGTTAGTACATGAGAATTAGAATCTTGGGGTAAACAGTCAAATTTATGTTTGATGAGAAACCTTAATGCAAACTCTTCCCTCCTTTTCTGTTTCATGAATGATAAGTATTTTATTGATACTTCCAATAGTAGTTTCTTGGATTGATCCAATAATATCTCTTTTTAAAAAGCTTTTGGTTCAGTTTCTTTCCACCTTGTTTTCTCTTAGTAAGGAAGTGTCATTAGTTAAAACTGTTCTCCTTTTAGTTTTCATTCACCTTTGTTATCCTCAGTTCCTTTATTTGTAAAATGGGGATAGTAGTAGTGCCAACACATGAGTTGTTCTGAGGACTAAATGAATTACGTATGTAAAGCAGTTAGAGACCTCTTGAAAGTGTTAAAAAGCAAAGATGTCACTTTGAGGTCTAAGGTGTGCCTGATCCAAGCCATGATGTTTTCAATTGCCTCATATGCATGCGAAAGCTGGATAATGAATAAGGAAGACTGAAGAAGAGTTGATGCCTTTGAATTATGGTGTTGGTGAAGAATATTGACTATACCGTGGGCTGTGAGAAGAGTGAACAAGTCTGTCTTGGAAAAAATACAGCCAGAGTGCTTCTTGGAAGTGAGGATGTCAAGACTTTGTCTCACATACTTGGGCATGTTATCAGGAGGGACCAGTCTCTGGAGAAGGACATAATGCTTGGTAAAGTAGAGGGTCAGCAAAAAAGAGGAAGACCCTCAAGGAGATGGATTGATACAATGGTTGCAACAATGGACTCAAGCATAACAACCATTGTGAGGATGGCGCAGGACTGGGCAGTATTTCGTTCTGTTGTACATGGGGTCGCTATGAGTTGGAACCAACTCGATGGCCCCTAACAGCAGCAACAATATCAAAACAGTTAGGATAGTGGCAGGAATGTAGTAATAACTATATAACATGAGCTCGTTATTATTATTACTATTATTATTTTGATACACTGTTTAAATGCTGAATATAGGGTTTTAGTGAAACACGAGTGAACCTAATTCCTTCATGAAATGGGTACTAATGACTATAGTATATGTGTGTATAGACTATAGGATTTTCACGTATTTAATTATTTTAAAGTTTTGTAAGAATGGAGTTTTGCCATTTTTCAGATGGGAGAAAGAGATACAAAAAAGCTCTATATAACCTAGTTGTATGACAGAAACTACAAGTTATAATTCCTGTCTGAAACGTAAACCAGTTGTGCTTTACTGGAGACATTAAATTAAATAACTGTTTCCAATTAAAAGGTCTATCACTGCAGTCTAACTGTGACCATTACTTAAGAATAAAATACTTATATATATATATGTATAACATATACAGATATTTTTAAATGTATATAGCAGGACTCCATGTGAGAATTCAGTTGAAAGAAGGGTTCCATTGTTAAAAAAAAAGTTTCTAGTGGTTTATAAATAATATGTAAATATGTAATATACATATGTATATTGCATATATTGCTGTGTTTAAAAGTAGGAGCAGCTCTGTTTGTGTGAAAGGTAGTAGATTGACAGGCCTAAGTTATCACTGTGGAGTCCGAGTTCCTCCAAATACGTTTTTGAAAACTGCTCAACTTGATGATATCTAAAATTTCCTGTTGCTCTGACATTGTACAATTTAAAAACACCTGAAGTGTAAAATACTTCCCTTTCTAGGTAGATTGCACTTCCTTGTTTTCTATTACTAGATTGTTGTCTTTTGTTCTGTAGGCCTTTCGTCTAAATATTGCTTCAGTTATAATACAAACTCCTTGAGTGCAAGGAGATTATCTTCTTTTGTATGATTCTTCATAATACCTAATGTAATGTTGTGAGGAGAGTCAGTAATCAGAAGACACAGGTTCTATTTATTTTTTGAAATCTACGTGTACTCATTTGGTAATTGCCAAATATTTTGAGTCAGTTCTGTGTGAGAAATGTTTCATTTCTTAAGGAACTTATGGTGTAGCAGGAGTATGAAACAAGGATCAAACAAAGGTTAAATTATGAAACTTCAGGTACAAAGAAAGAGTATGTGAGTAATAGTAAATGGTAAAAGCTACATGAAGGAGTTTGGTTTTTGTACTGGTTTTTGAAGGATAGAGAACATTTTATCTGAGAAGAATCACTGGTGGAAATAAGTATGGTATGTAAAGGGGACAAGTAAGGAGAAAGGTCTAATTGAAATAGTTGTTGTGTGCCATCACGTCGATTCCGACTCATAGCAACCCTATATAACCCTGTAATGACCTAGGATTTCCTAGCCTGCAAATTTTACGGGAGCAGAACACCAGGTCTTTTCTCTGAGCAGCCGCTGGTGGGTTCTAACTGCTAATCTTTCGATTAGCAGCTAGCTGAGTGCTTAACCATTCACTACCAAGGCTTCTAATTGAAGTAGAACCTAAACCAAACCCATTGCTTTCAAGTCAGTTCTGACTCATGGTGACCCTGTAGGAGAGAGTAGAACTACCACACAAAATTGAAGTAGGAGGGGTACAAAATGAAGAATACTATAGTACATAAGTATGAATAGGTAGCGTGGGGTCAGTTTGTGTAGAACTTTTAATAATCGTTGGCCTATTTTTAAATTCTTATAACAAAAAAGTGATCTGTCCTGAGACACTTCGTTTGTCTATAACTTAAATGTGTAGAAAGGAATAGTAAAAATAAAGTGGGAGGGACACGTGTGTGCAGAACCAGTGTTCATTTTGACATTTTTTCAGCCTTACATTGGGGTACCTTTTGGAAAGGATTACTATTACTGATTGTATTGATTTAATATTCCAGTATAATCAGATGTGATTATCTTTAGGCCTTGCTTGAGAGGACTGGTTATACTCTGGATGTAACCACAGGACAGAGGAAGTATGGTGGTCCTCCACCAGACAGTGTGTACTCTGGCGTACAGCCTGGGATTGGCACAGAGGTAAGTGTTCTTCAGCTGTTTGCCAAAATCCTTACAGTTTATGAACTTTTCTGTCTGTTGTATGATGGGGAAAATGTATGATTTCTTTCAAAGTGTAGCAGTTGTTACTATTATTTTGGGTACCCGTCTGTGTTCTGCTGCTGTCATGAGCAAGGATAATCATGTGTCTGGTAGATACCTGAGCATCTTATAAAGGAATTCAGGGTTCTTGGAACTGGTTGCTACAACTATGCTACTAGTAACGTGCTATTTTAGATGCTTGGTAAAGTTAGGGAGAAGTGATTCATTTATTCTGTCCTTTTTTATGTCTGTAAATTTGAACTGTGGTTGTCATCCCTCCATTCCCTGTCCCCGTCTCCCAGGAAAATTACACTGAAGGTACTCATTATTTACTGAGAGTTATTGATGGGAGGGGGGTGCACAAGAGACGGATGTGGAATCAGATAAAAGGTTAAGCACATTGGTCTGTATTTGAACAAAGAAGCAACTCCTTCTCCATTTCTGCCTTCATAAAGATTTCTCCATATGCCTGTATGCTAGCCTGTTCTAATCCTTTAAATGGAGAAAACTATGTGCCAAAATAGGACTCGGCTGCTAACCGAAAGGTTGGCGATTTGAACCCACCCAGCAGCTCTGTGGGAGAAAGACCTGGCGGTATGTTCCCATTACGATACAGCCTAGAAAACTCTATGGGGCAGTTCTGCTGTGTCACATGGGGTCGCTATGAGTCCAAAATTGAGTTGATGGCATCTAATAACAACATGTGCCAAAATAAAAGCTCTGTTACAACAGGAACCTTTTCTGTTTTGGTGTCTCCACTGTGTATCTTCAGTGCCTAGCAAATGCTAGGAATATAGACACACAATATTCGATGAACAATTGATTGTGGTCTTCTTTAAAAACTGAAATTATAGCCTTGTAACTTAAAATCTCAACTACATTGAATGGTAGTTTTATAGAACTTTATTTAAAGCAAAGTGATACGGGGTGGCTTCCTTAGATGATGATGCCAGTTAAATATTTAGGTGGTATATTATGTAGCTTTTATTTTTATTAGAGTTTTAAGAAGTTGTAAGAAGTCTACTCAAACTCCTGATTGAGTAACTTTACAACAAACTGTAGTGTCTTATTGAGACTGTTATAAGTGACACCCTCCTAAAAACTAAAGCTTTTCTGGTAACCAAAAGCAGAGATGATTATGTTTAGTTTGTGATTGGATAAACAAAGTTGTCATCATTTAACATAACTTTAGATCTGTGTCAGAACTAATTCTAGCTTTATGTTCTTTCTATGTAAGTGGAATTTATATTCATTGGTCTTTGTTCCTACAACTTCTTTTTATCATTATTATAGTCAATATTTTATTTCTTAATATTTAGCATTATTAAAAGGGGCTCTAAGCATTTTATTTTTCATGATACCTGAATCAGCTAGGTATAATTATTTTGAGTTTCTTAAAAATTAACCTAAATTATTTAATGTTATATAATTATTGATACAGTTGGAATTGAGATGTTGAGCCATCTATAATGACATTTTCATGAACAAATGTCAATGAAACTTAATGAACAAGTGAATAATATTTTAGTCGTGTTTCACTTTTGTGTCCTCAGTAACCTCTCCCCACATTCCTCATCTTTGATGTCGTACATCTATTATGAACCCTTTTGAATCTACATTTATATTTCTTTTAGTTCTTAAACAATACAGAAATATGATGCAACTTTCTTACTTGAACTTTTACAGCATGTGTATTTTTCTAATGGTTTTAAACTTTGTTTTTAGCATCAGAATTTTTTTTATCATAGCTCCCACATATAAATTGAATAGCTAAAACATGGAACTGCACCTTTGGCTTTCTCTTATTTTTGAGGCAGTTCCTAAAACAACTCCAAGACCAGAACAGTTTGGAAACCAGTGATCAGTAGCATACCATTCAACATGTGATATCCTTGTTAGTATTACATTTATCTTAGTCTTGTTTCTCCAATAGTTAAAAAACCCTAGGAGTAAGAATTAAGTCTTTATAATAATTTTATATTCTTCACAAAGTTCAATACAGAGTCTGGTGCAAAATTAGTTTGGTTGTATCTATTTCATCTGACTCCCTGAGTGGTGCCAATGGTTAAGTGCTCAACGACTAGCTGAAATGTTGGCTGTTGGAATCCACAAGAGGTTACTCAGAAGACAGGCCTGGCAATCTGCTTCTGTAAGGTCACAGCCTTGAAAACCCTGTGGAGCAGTTCTACTCTGCACACATGGAGTTGCCATGAATTGGAATTGACTTGACAACTGACAGCATCTATTTCGTAATAATTACAGAAGAGAACTTTTTTTAGCCCATTAGAGTAGTTTCATTAATGAGCTTGTTAATGAAGACTTGTTTTATCTTTATATAGATAAGGAGTTTGCTAGTATTATAAGTAAGATTTCACTGGAGGCATTTGAACAATAGGATAAACTGTTTTAAGTATCCAATTAAAAACAAATAGTTGGTATGCTAATTGTAAAGGAAGCATACATTTTCTCGTGTTGCATTGCCTCTTTAGGAGAAAGATGCATTTTCCTAAATTATATGTTAGATGTCATTACATATGGCAGATTTGGTTGCAGCAAAATCCCTATAATGAGAATACCAGCCTAAGCTCCTAAGAAGCAGGTTGCTACAACAGAATCTCAGTGTAAACTTGGGATTCCTCCTATAAAGCTAGATTTCATGAGATTTGGCCTACATTTAATAAAATTTAAATTTTTGGAAAGTCAGAAAAAATAGGTTTTTAATGTACTGGATTACTGAAAGATTTAATAAGTAAATTTTAATTGGTGTCATTTAAAAAATTTTATTCCCCATGCAGAAACTTATACATACATTGTTATGTGACTCTAATTGCTCTCCCCATACTGTGACAGCACACGCCTCGTTTCCACCCCTGATTCCCCATGTCCATTCAACCAGCTCCTAACCCTCTCTGCCTTCTCATCTCACCTCTGGACAGAAGCTGCCCAGTTATTCTCTTGTGTCTACTTGAGCTAAGAGGCACATTCCTCACGAGTATCACTTTATGTCCCACAGTCCAGTCCAACCCCTGTCTGAAGAGTTGGCCTCAGAAATTGTTTTAGTTCTGGGCAGATAGAGAATCCAGGGGCCGTGCCTTCTGGGGTTCCTCCAACCTCAGTCAGACCATTAAGCCTGGTCTTCTTACTAGAAATTTGAGTTCTGCACCCCACCTTTCTCCTGCTCCGTCCCGGACTCCCTGTTGTGTTCCATGTTAGAGCGGTCATTGGTGGTAGCCGGGCAGCATCTAGTTCTTCTGATCTCAGGCTGATGAAGTCTCTGGTTTATGTGGCCCTTTCTGTCTCTTGGGCTAATACTTTTCTGTGTCTTTGGTGTTCTTCATTCTCCTTTCCTCCAGGTGGTTGGGACCAATTGGTGCATCTTAGATGGCTGCTTGCAAGCTTTTAAGACTAATTGGTGTCATTTTTGATGTGAGTTTTTGATTTTTCTCTAATGTTTTATTACAGTCATTAAAGGCTGTTTGAACTCTTGATTCAGGAAGTTGAAATAAGGGTCAGTGCCTGTGACTGGGAGTATTAAAATTAAGTTATAAGGACTATGAGGTTTCATCTTTAGATAAAATCTACCGTAAATTAACGCTATAAATGAGCAGTCTTTAACAGACATTGTTGCTAAACGTTGTCCTGAAGCAAGAAATAGATATGAATAAAAAAACTCATTGCCATCAAGTCATTTCTGACTCATAGCGACCCTATAGGACAGAATAGAACTGCCCCATAGGGTTTCCAAGGCTTTACAGAAGCAAATCGTCACATCTTTGTTCCGAGGAGCAGCTGGGTGGGTTCAAACTGCCATCCTTTCAGTTAGCAGCTGCGGGGTTAACCACTATGCCCTCAGGGCCCCTTATGCAAGAATTCCAAAAAAAAAACCCATTGCTGTCAAGTCGATTCTGACTCACAGTGACCCTATGGGACAGAGTAGAACTGCACCATAGGGTTTCCAAGGCTGTAGTCTTTACAGAAACAGATTGCCACATCTTTGTTTTGCAGGGCAGCTGGTGGATTCAAATTGTCGACCTTCTGGTTAGCAGTAAGCTCTTAACCACTGAGCCACCAGGGCTTGCTATACAAGAATACAAAAAAAAAAAAAAACCCAACTCAGGACAGAGTAGATCTGCCCCATAGGGTTTCCAAGGAGTGGCTGGTGGATTTGAACTGCTGAACTTTTGGTTAGCAGGCGTAGCTCTTAACTCCTGTGCCACCAGGGCTCCTATACAAGAATAACCAGAAACCAAACTTGTTGCAGTTGAGAGTCGATTCCGACTCATAGAGACCCTATAGGACAGGGTAGAACTGCCCCATAGGGTTTCCAAGGAGCGGCTGGTGGATTCGAACTGCCAGTCTTTTGGTTAGCAGCTGGGCTCTTAACCACTATGCCACCAGGGCGTCATACAAGAATAGTAGGTATTAATTTTAAAATGCATATTTTTAGTGTACTTAGGCTTTCAGACCTAGTTTAGTTACAGTATTTTTATATTTTCCAGCTAGTATTGTAAATCTGTTTTGGGAAGCAAGTTCTGTTCTTGTTTTTTATTTTATTTTTTTGTTGTTGAGAATATACACGGCATAACATACACCAGTTTAACAATTTCTACATGTACAATTCAGTGACATTGATTACATTTTTCAAGTTGTGTAACCATTCTCTCCTTTTCTGAATGGTTCCTTCCCATTAACATAAATTCACTGCCCCCTAAGTTTCCTATCTAACCTGTTGATTTGCTATTGTCAGTTTTGATCCCGTATAGATAGTTCTTAAAAGAGCACAGTGGTCAAGGCAGATGTTCTTTAGTAGTTCAGCTAAACTGTTTAGTTTTAAGAAGACTTCAGGGGATGTTTTTTAAGGTGCAAGTTTTGTTTTATTTTGTTGCCATTAATGTAAATGTAATATCCATGGTAGCCATGGCTATATAACAAATTCTTAT